TACTCTGTTGCATTTTTCTGTTTCTGGCATCATTGTGCTGTATTCCAAGAACATAATTTCTACTTTAACCCTTTGTCTTCTGCTGAGACTTTCATTATAGCTTGGCATGTGTGCCCCTGCTGTGCCATGTGTCCTTGGAAAGAAGGTGTGCTCTGCACTTGGCACACTCTGCCCCATGGATGGCTATGAGGTTAGCTGTCCTAGCTTTTTTCATTTACAGCCCTTTTGTTCTGTTAGATACTGGCAGAGACGTGTAAAAATCTGGTATCACCCATGCATCTAGTGGGAGTCCCCAGGCTTGGCTTCCAGTGACCCCCACAGCTGGAGGTGGGCTTCCCCAGGCAGGTCTGGCTTCGGACCAGTGGCATGGCTGAAGCCCTGGAGGAGATGCTGGATCTGCTGTAGAGAGGCCGAGGGGAAGCAGCTCCTAGGCATCCCATAGGCTGCTGAGCACTAGGCCAGGGGACGGGGTCCTGCTCCGGGTTGCTCTAGGCACAGGCTCATGGTGTCCCCTGGTAGCCTCTTGCTTCGTGTGAGATACTTAGCCTCGAATGCACTGAGGTGTCAGACAAGGCGATCTATCTGTCAGCCCCCAAGGATTGGCGGGTCTCCTTTTCTATCCCCTTCTCCAGTTACTATGGGGAAATAGGTTCCTGCCGGCATTCTCTGCATCACTTCCTGAGAATACAAAACACCAAGGTCTCCTGTTACGATCTTGAAACTGACCCCAGGCTCTTCTCCACTTCACTTTGCAATGAGCCAGCTTTTCTTCAAAATCCCTGCTGGGCCCTGGCTCCATCACACTGGGAAGAAACCGAGGACAAGGTGAGAGGATCTGAGAGGCCTGGCTAGCCTGGGCAGGAGCTAGGCTGTGAAGGGCAAGGGCTCAGGCACAACCGTAGTTGGGGTTGCTTCAGGTGCTTGCAAAGTTATTTTTAGGATATATGTAAAGTTGCCGGGTCTTAATGATGTGGGAAACAAAGGCAGAAAAAAAATTATTAAATTTCCTTACTACCTTCAGCCCACTGACAAGTCCTTGAAACAGGCAGTGACCTTCCTCTACCGACTCAACTACCTATACTTTGCTAAGGGCAAAAGGCAACCTTAGCCCGACCTCCAAGATCCTGTAAGTCTACTTTACCATATAAAAATTCCTTTAGAAACTTCCTTTATCTCTGAGTCACCCCCCCCCCCAAGATACTTTGTTAGCAATCATCCCCCAAGCATATGGCCCATTGAAGGGTCTAATGACTGTTTTACCAGACAGTAATAAATGACCTTTTCCCAACAATAGCTAGCCTCCTCAAGGTCCTGGGAACCTTGCTTCCGAAATCTCTTAAAGACTCATGGTCGGGATCCCTGGGTGGCGCAGCGGTTTGGCGCCTGCCTTTGGCCCAGGGCATGATCCTGGAGACCCGGGATCAAATCCCACATCGGGCTCCCGGTGTATGGAGCCTGCTTCTCCCTCTGCCTGTGTCTCTGCCTCTCTCTCTCTCTGTGACTATCATAAATAAATAAAAATTAAAAAAAAAGACTCATGCTCTCCCTAAACCCCTCCCAGCTTGAAAGTGTATAATGGGCCATCCCTCATGACCCCAGTGCAGCTCTTCCTGCCCATGGGTCCTGTCCATGTGCTTTAATAAAATCATCTTTTTGCACCAAAGACATTTCAAGAATTCTTTCTTGGCCATCAGCTTCAAACCCTAATGTCTTTTCCTACATCAAGATGATGTGAAAGTGTCAGTCAGACATAGAGGACCACAGTCACCCTATTTTGAAACTGCTCTATCTTTTCATTCTCCACTAATCAAAGGGTTGACCCTCACCCTGAACTTGGCTTTCTTCCCTGGGTCAGCTGTACCTGAAACCTAGAATACAGCCCAGGGCTGGGAAGAGCATGGTGGGGGAACATGCCCTTCTCAGGATAGCTAACCATGAAGAAGGATGCCCCATCTTTAGCCCGTGTTCTTTCTGTGCGTGGGAGACAGCTATCCCCTGAGAGCACCCTCTCTTCCCACCAGAGGAAGGCATGTTCGGAAACACAGGGGTTGAGTGTGGCTAGAGCATGGAGGGCCTGGATGAGGAGGGCACGGTCACATCAGGAAGGGCCTACAGGCTGGCCTCAACACAGGTTTACATAGAAACAAATGGGGGGGTTGAGGAAGGGAGTGACCCCAGCAGGCTGAGAAAATGATCACTCTGGCTGCTGAGGGAGAAAGGCCAGAGGAGAAGTCATGCTAGTCATGGAAGGCCAGGGAGGGGGCAGTGCAGTGGGCCACCATTGGATGGTGGCAGCCCTGGGCAGCAGTCAAGTGACAGGAGGAGGTGGCATCGAGAGATATTAAGGGCTGGACTTTTGGAGTAGGGATTAATGAATGAGAAGGCCAAGGAGGACGTGGTGTCTTACTCCTGGCTTGAAATCAGCAAGTCTGGAGAAAAGAACAGGTGAGAGAGGGCTGAAAGACATCCTTGATATGCAGAACGGGCAGGAATAAGTGTCTTGTTCACAGAGCACATGCTGCAGTCTGCAGCCCACTGTGGGACATGGTGGCAGGTCCCTCCCCTCCAGGGCTCAGTCAGGTAAAAAGGAAGATGGGCAGAGAGGGAGGCCCCTATGGGGAACTCCAGGAAAAGCCATCAGGAGAAAGAAGAGGACTTGGGCTTTATTTGTAAGACCCAAATAAATCCCCACCAGCCTCCAGGAGGCAACTGTGCCCTCTTCCACTCCCACTAAGAGCCCAGGACAGCTCTTCACTTTTGAGCATGCCTGTGATCCTGGGAGAGGACCCATCCAGAACCATGCTAAGTGTCACTTCCTCTTCCAAAAGATGAGGCAACGTGAGAGTTACAGAAGGAGCAATTATTACTTGGCTGCTTGGGATTCCCTCTCTCACTTCAGGGGTTCCAGGACCTGGAACATCTAAGTGAGGTCCAGAGGGCAGAAACCATGGTGCTTCTGACTATCTCTAGGGAGAAGAAGAGTTAGCCTGGCTAAGAGTGGTGGCAAAAGGAAGCAAGGATTAAAAGACACTTCACAAAAAAAAAATTAATAAATAAAAATAAAAGACATTTCACTTGGGGAGCTCTCACAAGAGCCTTTTTGCATGTTTGTAGGTTGCCACCAGAAGGCGCTCTGGACCTCAGAAGGCAGACACCCAACAGGGAGGAGGCCATGCACTGGGAGGGTCTTCAGTATGAGCGCCCCAGCATTCTAAGTGCTGTCCAAGTGTATAGCCTGTGGCACAGGAGAGATGGTCCATGACATGACACCCCACTTCCACACTCACCAGGCAACTTTCTGATGCCATGTCCTGGGTTATTAGATACTGATGATGGGATGCTCCCACAAAGGGTTCTCATTCCCCACCCCCAGGAAATGTGTGCATTGGCATTCTGGCAAATATATATATCTACTTTGTATAATGTTGGTAGATGTCCACTTGTTCCCAAGGGGGGGAGCAACTCTGAGTGGACTGAGTACCTGGTTTTCACTTTGGCTTACAGTGACTAAACCACCTGCCACCTCTGTAAAGTCCTTGCAACAAGTGCCCAAGGCTGCAGCATAATACCCGCAGTTGCCCACAGCTGCTGGGAGATCTGACACTAAAGCACCTCACTTTCACTAAGTCATGGCCTCCGTTTCCCCACCTGCAACAGGAGTGGCCAGAGTGACTGACCACACTCTTGAGCCTTTGCAATTGTGACAGTGCTTCCCCCACTCGCCCCTGCCACAGGAGAGGGGGGAAGGGGAAGGCTGACAAGGGGACCCACCTGGGACAGACAGGTCATGGGAATGGGGGTTATGAGATCAAGGCTCCCACTTCTCATTCAAATTACCAAAAAGGTTCACTCAGGGAGTGTGAGACTCATCTGTGATGTCTAATTCTTTGCTATATCTGGCAGTGTTTTCTAAAAAGTAAAGCACGATGTACTCTTCCAAGTTACATTGAAAGAACTTTGGGAATAAGAACAGAAAATTAAAGAAACATTTCAAAACACTAATAGTGTAATAATGCTCTATACCCCCAGTTTGCCATGTTTGTATTTCTAACTCTTCTGAGCTCCACAGGGGTGTGAGGTGGCATCATTCCTCCATGTTACAGCCAAGAACACTGAGCCAGGGGCTGACTTTAAGACTGGGCTCAGGACAGAGCCTGGCACTGACAAAGACAGGGAGGAGTAGATGTGCCCAACAGCAGACCCTAAGCCTACCCAGAAATAATACTTCACATGTGGCTGATAACTCTCTGAGATTGGGGCTTAAATGAGCATAGCCTTTTTGGGTTAAATGAGTTAATCTATGTTAAAATATAAATATGAAGATAAATTATGCCTTACTCTAAACAATCATATGAGTTTCTTATGTATAAAAAAATTACAGAAAGAATCAGAATAAAATCTGACACTTTGCTGTTTATACGTTATACAGCAAAATATATGCACAAATTTTGAAAAGGAAATGCAGAGCTAAATCAACTTGCATGCAAATGCAAATTGAAAAATGCAAGGGGCTTCAATTATGGCATCTGGAAAAGAAAAACTTAAGCTAGAAGCATTAAAAGAGGCAAAGAGGGCACTAAAGGCACGATTTTTCAATATATTACTATTAAATATATATGCTCCAAATATCATGGTACTTAGTGATACCCTATTTCTCAAAAAGGATTTGAAAAAACTGCAGATCTAACATTGCAACAAACATAAAATAGAAACAAATTTAAGTGAAACAGAAATACATAAAGTAAAAAAACACAAAATCAGACTATGATTTGACCATGTCAATGACTGTTCTTAACTATTTTGGGGGTCACAGAGTCTTTCCAAACTGTGGTGAATGCTACAGGCCCCCCACCCTCTGGCCCCGAACAATTCATTCATATACATAACCACATAGCTTTGCTCAATCCCTCTATGCTGCTTCTAAAATAGATCTGCACACCCATGGGCACCTAGGCAGTCTGCAGCCCCCAGGTTAAGAACTGTAAACAACAGAAAAAGTATGAATTTGAATAAAAGTAATTTAAAAACAAGTTAACAAATAGAACTGATGGAGTACAAACATATTTGTGGAAAGTACACAAAGGCTTTATAGAAATTGATCATATCTTCAGGCCCAGAGTAGTTCTATGGACACTTAGAAATGTTGACACCACAGTACAATAAGAAAGAACAGCAATGACCTATGCATTCATCACTTGGAAATAAAAAATAAAATAACAGCACTTGGGCCAAAAGGAAATTCCTAATATGGTATCAAAAATTTGCACATGTCAAAATGACAGAGTGCAGAAAAAGCTCTAAGAAAAAAGTCGTAGATCAGAGTACCTGCATTTACTAGAAACATTAAAAATATGATTAGCTATGTCTAAATAATCTTGGAAATGTAAAATAGTAAGTAAAATAAAAAAAAAAAGAAAACAGATGGCATACATACACTTTGACAAAACCATTCAATTAGTAAACAAGACCAAGACTGGAGCTTTACAACACTCAACATCTGCCATCAGAAGGAAAATAATGTAAGACAACCAAACAAAAACAAATGACAACTAAATCCAAGGACAATTAAAATATTACCAGGATGTTCTCTTGTAATATTACACTGTTCAAAAACCTAAATAAATTGAAGGATTTAAAAATACATAAAATGGTGGAGGAATGTGAACAGAAGGGACTAGGTTCTGCTCACATTTTGAGAAGTACCTGGTCCTACCATGGTTATGTGAGAATCCGTCAACCCTTAAGAAAAGGGATCTCAATCCCCACGTTACATAAACTATCAAGAGAAGGAGGGCGTGGGGTCAAGGAAGAGGAGAAAGTGCATATTCCAGAATGAAGAACAGCATAAAATAAGCTGAGAGAAGCTGGGAGAGGAGGGAGTGTCTGGGGAGGTTGGCATGAACTCTCTGTGGTCTGTTCAGAAGGAGCAAACCAGATTGGCTGAAATGGGGCCATATGGGCAGGCAAGCCCCTGAGGGTTGGTTTTAAGGAGAATGGTGGCATGTGCAAAGAGATGCTTTAAGAAAATCAATTTGGCTGGGGTGTGCAGAAAGCACATGGAGAGAGATATCAAAGGTAGGAAACTGATGACTGCCCGATAAGGACAGACCTGGCCAAGGCAGGGCCGAATTGGGGGTGCCAAGGAGGTAGATCTTGGGCAGGGGGCTGCTGTCCACCCATGCTGAGCAGGGGCTCTCGATTCTCTCTGCATTCTTGGTAAGTGACCGAAGACTGTCAGTGCAGGCCACCTGCAGACAATACCCAAGGGCCAGCCAGGCAGGCCAGTCTAGCCAGTGGTACAGTAGGTTCTAGGAGACCCAGGGTGCTGGCTCAAGGTCTCACTCACACAACACAGACACGAGTTGGACAGGAGCAGCTGCTGTTCTTATAATGGGACTCCCACTGTGATCCCCTCCAGGTAGAGACCTGGCCTCTTAAAATCTCCAGGCTGCCGAGCCCCACTTACTAAGTAACTTGTCCATTTTTACTCATCAAAACTATACAAGACTGCCAAGCTGAGCTTCTGATTAGCTGAAATAGTCTGTATTACCAAGATGGAGTTGGGATTCCAGTTGTAAACTTGGAAAATTTCAAAATCGCTCAGACTGCCTCTGAGGAGCCTAAGGGAAGGCAGTACCATAGAAATCCTGGGGGCCACACGAAGGCCTGAGGATCTGAGACAAGCACTTATCAACCAGCCAGACTCGGCACTGCCTGAGCCCATTCTTAGGGGGTGGGAAGCACGGGGACTGAGATAGAACGGCCACCTTCAAACTCTGCTCATGGCAAGCAGGCCTGACATTTGCAAGATGCTGGGGCTAAATGGATGCCTAGCATAGGGCTCACACTAGCTACATACTGGAATGTTCTAATCACCCGGGGAGCTTTAAATACACATCACCATCTGAGTCCCACCTCTGGGGATGCTGACTGAACCAGTCTAGGCGGGACACAGGCAATGGTACTTTCTGAACAATGTCTGGGAGAAGACAGAGAGAAGTATGGGGACGTGGGCTACTCAGACCACACAGCTGCTGGGGAGAGATTCAGGATGGCAAGTGGAAAGAGTCCCTAGCTGGGACATGGCCCCACAGGGCATCCACAGCCCAGGGTGCAGGCTGGAGGGAGTGAAGGAAAGCCTAAGCCCTCATTCAACGAGAGGATGGGCTGCAAGCCCTGCCATCTGGGGAACCAGCAGGGATGCCTCTCTGGTCTTTAGGAAATATCTCTCTGGGTGGCACAAGGGTCCCTCTGGGTCTCTATCCTCAACTGCCAGTTGCCAAAGCACTTGCATGGGTGGTTTCATTCTGAACAAGAGTCTTGCACCCTCAGAGGTATGTGGCCAGGTCCCACTATCCCCATCTCACAGATAGGGAAACAGGAGCCTTGGAGCTTCCTCAAGGTCACCAAGCAGGAGGGGCAGAACTGGGATTTGAACTGGGACCTATGACTGAATCACCCTGCTTCCTCTGTCCCCCCAGCACTGGAGGGCAGAGAGGGGGCCCTGCTGCTGACCAAGGCACACTGTGGTCTTGGGAGCCCTAAGTCTTGTGGAGGGGTTATAACCGGAGGGCGCTAATGCCTTGGGCCAGGCTGAGTCAAAGCCAGTGTCAAATGTCCTGTGGCCTACAGGACCAAACTTCTACCATCCTGTGAAAGAGCCATCTGCCAGAAACTACCCTTACTCTAACCCAGAACAGGGATTAAGAGACCATGCCAGGGGCTCCCCACCCTGTTCCCCAACCCCAAAATGAATCCTTCCAGACCCTCCTTTTATTCTGTAACCTGTTTTGGTTGTCCCCACCAGTGCCAAGCCAGGTGAAAGATTCCATTTTCCTGTTAATGCATCTACTTTTGAACTCATTTTTCTTTAGCAGATTTGGACTTTTGAGCACAGGTCTATCTTCTAAAAGTGCCAGACTGCAGCTGATGTTAAAGAGTTCATCTGACATCTTTGTGTGTTTAACTCAACTTTCTCCCTTGGGTATTTATTCTTCTGGATTTTGACAAAGGTGAAGAAACAGCAAAATTCAATCTCACAGGCTTGGGAGTCAAATGTGAACAACTGAAGGCCAGCTCTCTTTGTGGGCACGCCTCTGTTTCAGTGGCCTCCCCATTATTCCATCCTCCCGCCCACTCAGTAAACCTGCTGCATGTGGGGCACCTGGCCAGGTGCAAGTGTGGGGGGCCAGGAGCACTGGGGTTGGCATGTTTCCATTCGGCCCTGGGATCAGGAAGGTGGGTGGGGTTTTACAGACAAGGCGATGGGGTGTGGGCTCCACCTGGGAAAGGGTTTTGAGCTTTGGTGTGAGCTCCTCCTTCTAGAGCTTCTCCCCGGCATGGATTTTCTGATGCCGAATAAGGTGTGAGCTTCCCCTGAAGGACTTGCCACATCTGTTACACTCATACGGCTTCTCTCTGGTGTGGGTTTTATAGTGCTCAATAAGGGCCGACCTGTGCCGGAAGGCTTTGCCACACTCGTTGCATGCATAGGGTTTCTTCCCAGTGTGGATCCTCTGGTGCTGAATCAGAGCAGAGCTGTGGCAAAAAGCCTTCCCGCACTGGCCACACTCATAGGGCTTCTCCCCAGTGTGGATGCGCTGGTGTTCAATGAGGGACGAGCTCTGGCTGAAGGCTTTCCCGCACTTGTGGCATTTGTAGGGTTTCTCACCAGTGTGGGTCTTACGATGTTCAATGAGGTTGGAGCTCTGGCTGAAGGCCTTCCCACACTCTTCACATTTGTACGGTTTCTTCCCAGTGTGAATCCTCTGGTGCCGAATGAGGTGGGACCTGTGACAAAAGGCTTTCCCACAGAGATCACATTCGTGAGGTTTCTTCAGGGTGTGGATTTTCCGATGCTGGCTCAGGCCAGAACTCTGATTGAAGGATTTCCCACATTCCTTACACTGATAAGGCTTCTCTCCTGTATGAATTCTCTCGTGTTTTCTGAGACTTGAGCTCCGGCTGAAATCTTTCCCACATTCCCGACACTCATATGGTCTCTTCCCAGTGTGGGTTTTCTGGTGTTGTGTGAGGGCTGAACTCTGGCGAAAGGCTTTTCCGCATTCCCGGCATTCGTAGGGCTTCTCTCCAGTGTGGATTATCTGATGTCTGAGGAGGTGTGAGCTCTGGCTGAAGGCCTTGCCACACTCACAGCACTCATAGGGCTTCTCCCCAGTGTGAATTACCAGGTGCCTAAGAAGGTGTGAACTCTGGCTGAAGGCCTTCCCGCATTCCCGACACGCGTAGGGTTTTGCTGGTGGTGCAGTTCTGTGAGGTTCTTTAGGTCCTGAGTGCGCCCTGCTCGCCTTCTCACAAGTATTGTGTTTACTGGGTTCTTCTCCACTGTGAATTATCTGGCACATACTAAGGTCTGATTTCTGGAAGAAGGTTTGGCTGAAGATTTCATCATCCTGGGGTCTGTTTACCGGGGGGGTACTTTGATGCTGAACAGGGCTTGAGCACAGACTGAAATTGCCCTCATACTCGTCATGTTCCACGCCTTGCTCCCCAAGAGGGATCTCCTTATAAATAACAGCCATTTGCTCTAAACCTCTTTCCTGAAGAAAAGGGTCTCCCAGGTCCTCCTCCGGGAAAAGTTCTTGCTGCATCTCTAACCCATCCTCAAATACAAAGGTCTCACCAAACTTAGCTGCTGGAGGAACCTCCATTGTGAATCTAGAATCACCCCCAAAGACTGTATTTCTTGAAAGATGGTCTTCTTAAGGACACATTTACTGTTCTTGCAATCTGAAAAGAAAACAAGGGACACTGTCAAGTCTGAAAATCAAGCACCTAGTGCAGGCCTCCTTCCTGTGCCAGAATCTATGTTGGACATAACAAAATAAGTATAAGATCCACGCTTGCCCTTGAGATGATCCCACTGAGTTAAAGATAAGTTTGATATATCAGAAACAACTACAAAAAAGACAGAATCAAGTGCCACACCGCGGTGTCTAGAATCTAAAGGCTGAAGGTGTTCAGAAAGGTGGACTAGAGCAGAAAGTGGAGCCACTGCGTAAAAGGGGCAAGATTCTCGCATGGAGGGTGGAGGATGCTGGGAATGGGCGTTTTTGAAAAAGAAAGAATGCAAACTTCCCTCCTATATCGGTTAGCTGGACCGCCTCCAGCCAGGTGCCCAAGCCACAACCCTGCTTAGGGCTAGGGTAGCTTAGTTAAGTGCCTTCAGCTCAGGTCATGATCCCAGAGTCCTGGGATCAAGTCCCCCACCAGGCTCCCTGCTCAGTGGGGAGTCTGCTTCTCCCTCTCCTCCTCTTCCTGCTCTTTTTCTCTCTCTTACTCACTCTCTCTCAAATCTTGCTCACTCTCAAAATCTTCTTTAAAAGATTTTATTTATTTAGAGAGAGAGCAAGCATGAGCGGGGGTGGGGGGAGGGAGAGGGAGAGCAGACTGGGGGAGGGAGAAGTTGACAGGGTGTTTTCATGGGACAAGGACGATCTAGAACACCTCCATCCCTGCTGAGCAGGGAGCCCAACGTGGGGCTCGATCCCAGGACTCCGGAATCATGACGAGCCAAAGGCAGACGCTCAACTAACTGACCCACCCAGGTGTCCCTAAATAAAATCTTTAATTAAAAAAAAAAAAAAAAAAAAAGAGGTCTCTTCCTCCCCGTCAGTCTCCAGCTCAGGCTTCAGTGTAACTCACCAGGATTAATTCAATATTCACCTCCCAAATGACCGACCACCAACTTCCCAGCTTCTACTACTCCCTCTGGTCAGTTGTCTACATTGACACCAGTATCAAATACCCTAAAAACAGGCCTGATTCTATGTCTCAGTATCTTGTGCCAGCCCAAATCCTTCACAAAGCCCTTCCTTCACACTGGCCCCTCCAGCCCCATCTTCAGCCTCTCCTTCCATATACCCCTATCTGCTGCTTCCTCCTAAAAGGTCCTGCTCCCTTCTCAGACTACCACTGGCTCATCTCCACAGACTCAGTCCTAATGTCCCCTTTTCTGTACCCTAAGACTGATGACCTCAGGCACACCCCCTCAGTGACCTGCAGAGCTCGATGCACACGTCCATCACAGCACTCACCACCCCAGATGGCAAACATCAGCTGGCAGGACTCTTGCCACCACTGCCTGAGAGGCCCCTGAGGGTAAGTACTGTGCTCCTTCACTTTGGAATACCCCACCCCCAGCCCCCAGCACAACAGGACAATCTCCACATACATTTGTTGCATGAATACATGACTGAGGGGCACCCGGGTGGCTCAATGGTTGAGCATGTGCCTTTGGCTTTGGTCGTGATCCTTGGGTCCTGAGATAGAGTCCCGCATCAGGCTGCCCAGAGGGAGCCTGCTTCTCCCTCTGCCTGTGTCTCTGCCTCTCTCTCTATGCCTCTCATGAATAAATAAAAATCTTGGGATCCCTGGGTGGCGCAGCGGTTTGGCGCCTGCCTCTGGCCCAGGGCGCGATCCTGGAGACCCGGGATCGAATCCCACGTCGGGCTCCCGGTGCGTGGAGCCTGCTTCTCCCTCTGCCTATGTCTCTGCCTCTCTCTCTCTCTCTCTGTGTGACTATCATAAATAAATAAATAAAAAAATTAAAAAAAAAAAAATCTTTAGAAAAAAAAAAACAGTAAAAAATATACTTGACTGAATGGAGGAAAAGCTATTTGTTTTTGTGTTAGAATGGATGGTCACACTTTTTTTGGGGGGAGGGGGGCACAGAACTCTTTATTAATTTTTTAAATTTTTATTTATTTATTCACGAAAGACATACAGAGAGAGGCAGACACATAGGCAGAGGCAGAAGCAGGCTCCATGCAGGGAGCCCGACATGGGACTTGATCCCAGGACTCCAGGATCATGCCCTGGGCCGCAGGCAGACGCTCAACCACTGAGCCACCCAGGTGTCCCCCAGAACTCTTTATTCAAATAAATCATCTTTTAAAAAATAAAAGACAAAAACAGAGCTGCTCCAGTTGACAGGGGTTGTTTTCATGGGGACAAGGACGGATCCTAGAACACCTCCCATCCCACTGTAGTGGTCTCTGAGGAAGTCCCTCAGGAACCTCCCATTCAGTAATTGCTGTGCAAGCTGAAGGGAAACCCCAGGTACCATGATAATAATAACAGCTCGTGTTCATTGAGCATCTACTATGTCCTAGGCACTACTAGACCTTCTATAAACACATTTGCATTTAATCCTCACCACTCTATACAAAGGTACTATTGGCAGCACACTGAAGCATAGACAGTTAAGCATAAAAAATACACTAAATTAATCAGCATAGTCCTGATGGAACTCATTCCGATTTGGAAATGATTTTTTAAATGAATTATCAGGTGGTAAAAAAGGCCACGTGTGAAAAGAAGTACAGAACTGAAGTATTCTCAAAAATTCTTAGACCACTTAACTCCTGTTTCCCTCCTGTGCAGCAAGCACAACCTCCAGTCATTCGGGTTCTCTAGATTGATCTCATCAGGTCTAACAACCCACCAATTTCGCCCACGTTCTCCTCTTCCAGTCCACACCCTTCCCTGTCTAGCTTAGACTCTTATCGTGGCTCAAACTATAGACTCTGGCCAGCACGGCATTCCTTACCTCCTTGCCCTGCAGCAACCAGCTGCCAAGTACCAACGTTCTCTGTCAATTCCTCTAAGACGTTAAATGTTGCCAGAGAAAAATCACAGGACTGTGTACTGCCTGGAGACAAAATTTCAAGTTTCCAATTTCAGCTGGGACTTCAGCATCTTCAGCTCTGGCATCCAGTGACCTCCTTATGGCCAATCCCTCTCTTCTCAGACCTCACTTGCCCACCCCTTTTGGCCGTGCTCACCAATAGCTCCCTTCTCAAAACCCTTCATTTCAGAAGTTACAAATTGGCAGCCTGGGGATCCTGCCACAGACACGTTTTGTTTGGCTTGAAAAGAGTTGGAACTTTTTCTTTTTGTTTGACTTAGCTGCCAATACTGGAAGCTCAGTAGGTTTCAGGCTTTCTCTTGAAAACCTGGAAGGTGTGACACGACAGGCCCACCCCTGCGTTAAACCCACCTTGCCTGTCTGAACACCTCGAGGTTTTGAAACCCGCCCCCCACCTCCCTCCCACTCCCTGCTTTATTCCCTTCGTTTCTGAAACTTTCCCCCACAGTTTTCATGCTCTCTGATCCCCTTCTCTGGGTATCCGTGATCGCAACTCTTCCTCCACCCACCTGTTAAGTCGTGGTGTTTCTCCAAAGTTCCCTCTTAGGGGTTTTCCATTCCCACTATGGGCCACCTACATGCTGAAGTCTCCGCTCTGTTTGGGAAGTTGGCAATCCTGTATCTGTCCTCAACAATGTTTTAAGTATTTTTGGACCGAAGATCCAAAGGTCTGGAGCCCCATCTTCCCATCTCTCTCGGGGCCTTCCCCGGCTCCTCCTGCACAGGTCACCTTGTGCTTCGGGGAGCCCCCGGGGCCTGGGCACCCAGGACACCCTCGGTCCGGTCAGGGTTTCCTGGCTGGAGGCCCGCGAGGGGCCGCGGACACTCACGCGCCGCCCGAGCGCCGCAGCGGGCGCCCCTCCACGCCTCCCACCGACGGGGGCCGCCCACACCCGGGGCCACCGGGGGACAGGTGGTCACGAGGGCTGACGCCGAGCCACTCACCTGGGCCGGGGCGGGGCCGCTCACCTGGGCCGGGGCGGGGCCGCGGGCGGGCGGGGCGGGGCCGCACCTGAGCCGCTCCAACCCGCGGCCGACCCGGCCGCGCTCCGCGGCGGCTGCTGACGCGGAGCCCGCGGCGGCCCGAGCGCCCGGAGCCCCGCCCCCCGCCCGCGGGCACTTCCGGGACCGCTCTAGGCCGCGCGGAGGTCCCCGCGTCTCGGTGGTCCTGCGGCGCCGGGAGTCCGAGCCGAGCGGCTGGTGCAGCGCGGCAGGAGCAGCTCCCGGGGCGGTCCCCTGGGCGTCCCTGGGCGTGGCGGAAACGGCTCGTCCGCCGTCGGCTGGGGTGCATAAGAGGCAACTGAGGCCGCGCGGGGCGGGCCGCCCAGCTCCCGCTGCAACCTCCTGGGGCAGGGCCGAGCCCGGGGCCCCTGCGGCGGCTGGGGTCTTCGGGGGAAGGGAAGGGGTTCCCCGAGCTGTGGAGCCCGTCACCCCGCGCAGGCCCAGGGGCCTGTGTGATCCCCCCTCCTGGGTAGCCTTGGTCCTGCCTGCAGAGTCGGAGATGAGAAGGGGCCCAGGAGACGGCTGGGAGTGTAGGCTGCACCCTGGAGACCCCCCAACTCCAGTGCGCGTGAGGGATGACCTCCAGACATGAGGTGCCTCTTGGGGACCCAGGAAGGAAGAGGAGTGTGTTCTTGAACATCCCCCTAACCCCCAGTCGCTCAGCTCTGCTTCTGATAAGACTTGCCCCTCCACCCAGTCTCCCCACTCGATCCAGTTGCTCAGCCTTCCCTGCCTGTGGGACAGCCGGTGCGGGAGAGCATCTCTCCCGTTAGGAATGTGTGTCCTACTGGTTTCCAGTGTCAGGGCTGCCCACCTGCATTCAGCACCCTCCCCAGGACCCTCAGGTGCCTCTGAGTGCCTCCACCCCCCTCCACATACTCACACCTGCCTCCCTGCCCCATCAAGAAGTAGGCAGGAGCTCTCCTCTCCCCGCAAGCTAGCAGCCTGGGCTCCATGAGGACCCAGTCCAGTCACCCCTTGAGCGTTGAACCACAACCAGCCATGCAGAGCTAGGAGCAGCAAGAACTGGTTTCTTTTTCTCTTCCTCCAGCTCCTCAGGTCACAGGAAGCCCAGGCTACCAGTCTGAGCCCCTGGGGGCCAGTGGAGAGGCCAGGCCCGCCCCAAGGGTCTCAGATGTTTCCTCTTCTAATAACAATCCCCAGAATCCCTACCGCCACACTCCCAGTCACTTTTGCAGCAGGAATTTCATGGCCCTCAGAATGGTTATTGTTCACATGTTTAATATTATTAACCCATTTTACAGAGGAGGAAAATCAAGATTCAGAGAAAGAGGGGGAAACCCAAGATCAGGGTGCAGAAATGAGAAGCAGATATGAAGCACTTGTCCCACACTCCACCCTTAGGATGTGTAGCCCACAGAACAGTAATAATCTGCGTCGTCCTCAGGCTGCACGGGGCTGATGGTCAGGATGCAGGCATTGTGGGCAGCATCTGTGGCTGCCGAGAAGCGGTCAGGGATGTCAGGGGACCGATGGTAGTCCTTCTCTGAGCGGTAGTAGAGGAGGTAGCGGGGGGCACTGCCTGCCCGTTGCTGATACCAAGACACACCGTACTCCCCGATGGTGGCATGGCGAGGGCTGAGCATGCAGGAGAGTTGGGCCACTTGGCCTGGGAAGAACAGCAGTGCATCTGGCTGGGCCAAGCCTGGCTGAAAGACTGAGAGAGAAAGACCCATGGGCTCCTTTCTTCCTGTCCCTACCCCATGAAGGCTTGGTCAGACTCAAAGGAGACTCTGACTCCCAAAAGGCTCATAGCCCAGTGCCATGGAATTGAGATTAGATGGGGCACAAAGTTGGCAACCCCCAAGTCCTCATTTGTGCTACATTACCAATAATGTGTTCAGTTGAGCACCTAGAGTTCAGAGTGTGGGACTGGTGGCCTCTGGGCCCTTCTCTGCCTGCCCCCATTCCTTGTCCTGCAGACCCTTACCCCTCAGTAACACTGGCTCTTCCAGACTCTGACTACCACCACCAGGGAGGCCTCCTGGGCTATCCCACCCATCAGCTCAACTTCAGACAACTGGCTGCTGGGAATCTTCTCAAGGATAGGTTGTCCCTGAGGCCCTTGGGGTAGCTTCCCACGTGAAAAACTAAAAAAGGTGATCAACCACTTCCAGTCTCTTCTGAGACCCCAGAGAATCAGAATCTGAAATGATCCTAACAATCTGGTCATTTGCAAATGCGAAAACTGAGGCCCACACGGAGTCCTATGTCCCCTCCACCTTAATGCCCCTTCTAAAACCCTCCCACTGCCCACATCGATTTGCTTCCTTGCAGGGGCCCTCTGGTGCCAGTGCCATCCCCCACCCTACTCAGGTGAGCCAGGCCTAGGGGGAGCTCACCTGACAGGAGGGCCCCAGTCAGAAGGAGGGCCAGATGCCAGCAGGCCATGGCCAGAAGCAGAGAGGCAGACAAGAGTCGTTCTGTTGGGAGCACTCCAGGTGCTTCAGAACACAGGCAGGGGAAGTCCCTGGACCATGACAAGGTATGCAAATCAGCCCATTGCGAGGGGTGGGGGCATGGGGGCACAGTGGCTAGGGCCCATCAGCTGGGTCCTATCTTCCCAAATGTTGGGGTCCTGGTCCCCACAGGATCTTCTGAGCACAGGAGCCCAGAAATCCACACATTTATACACATGTAGTTAGGACAGGTAGATACTTTTTTTTATTGAGGTGTGACTCATATAGGGTGAAGTGCACAGATTTTAAGTGTATGGCTTGATGATTTTAAATATCTCCACCCCCGCAACCTCTACCCAGATGAAGATTTAGAATGTTTCTTTAAAAAAAAAAAATTAAAAAAAAATTATTCAGGGGATCCCTGGGTGGCGCAGCGGTTTGGCGCCTGCCTTTGGCCCAGGGCGCGATCCTGGAGACCCGGGATCGAATCCCACGTCGGGCTCCCGGTGCATGGAGCCTGCTTCTCCCTCTGCCTGTGTCTCTGCCTCTCTCTCTCTCTCTCTCTCTCTCTGTAACTATCATAAATAAATAAAAAAAAAATTAAAAAAAAATTATTCATGAGGGAGAAGCAGAGACATAGACAGAGGGAGAAGAAGCAGGCTCCTCACCAGGAACCCAATGCAGAACTCGATCCCAAAACCCCAGGATCACGCCCTGAGCCAAAGACAGACACTCAACTGCTGAGCCACCCAGGCGGGACCGATTTAGAATGTTTCCATCTCCCCAGAAGGCTCCCTCCTGTGCCTTCCCCAACAGTAAACAGCCTTTCCAACCCCAAGAGTAACCATCATTCTGACTTGAATAACTTAGATCGGTTTTGCTTGCTCTAGAGCACCAACTCAAATGGAATGATAGTGTGTTCCTTTTGTTCCTGCTTCTTCATGAGTCATCCATATGTGTGCAGCAATGCCTAATTCATTCTCATAGTTGTGTGTGGATAAGCTACAGTGTATTCATAGTTTATCCATTCTCCTATTAGACATTTGAGAGCTTTCCAGTATTTAGCCATTAAAAAGAAAACTGCTATAAATACCCCTGAGGGATCCCTGGGTGGCGCAGCGGTTTGGCGCCTGCCTTTGGCCCAGGGCGCGATCCTGGAGACCCGGGATCGAATCCCACGTCGGGCTCCCGGTGCATGGAGCCTGCTTCTCCCTCTGCCTGTGTCTCTGCCTCTCTCTCTCTCTGTGTGTGACTATCATAAATAAATAAAAATTTAAAAAAATAAATAAATAAATAAATAAACTTAAAAAGTGTTACCATGTTTAATCCTCACAAGGACTTTGCTGAGCGGTGTTCTTACTCCCCCCGCCCTTTGTACCGGTGGAAGCACTGAGCTGCTTATCCAGAGGCAGACTAATGCTGGGTGAGCTACAAGCCTGACTCAGCGGCCCAGATGGCGGGACAAATAGCCCAATCATAATGGGAGAGGGTGCATTTCTAAAATCTTGGGGCAAAAGGAGCTGGCGAAGGTTGGGAGCCTGCTCCAGACACCTACCTGGCACCCTGGCTGAAGGGGTCTGGTAGGGGCTCATGGAGAGGGGGCAGGAGACAGAGATAGAGACAAAGGGGCCACTAGGGGGAGGAAGGAAAGAAGATGGAGAGAAAGGGAGAGAAAGTCAAAGAAAGGATGGGCATGGATGGAGAGGAGAGAAACACAATATCCTGTCTGCCAATGTCTCTTCTGGCTTTATTTATAATTGCAAAAAGCTGGAGACAATCCAAACAACAGCAAGTGAGTGGATCAACAAACTGGCACATGCAGGCAACAGGACCCTCCTGAGCAGTAAGAAGGAACGAGCTATTGAGTGAGTCTCATGCTAAGTGAAAGAAACCAGACTCCAAAGGCCCCATGCTGTGTGATTCCCTTTATACAATTCTGGAAAAGGCAGGGGCTGAACACAGAGCAGCGGTTGCTAGGGACTGGCATCAACTATAAAGGGAGCCTAAAGGAATTTTGGCGGGTGAGGGAAGTGATCTGCCTCCCGACTGTGGTGGTGGCTTTATGAGGTTTGTCAAAACTTGGAGAAGGGTGAATCTTACTGTATGTGCATCATACCTCAATAAACTTGACCAAACAAGGAGCGAAACAGAGAAGAGAGGGGAGGCCGGAGGTGAGGGGGAGGGCAGAGGGGGAGAGAAAGACAGCCAGCACAAGGAAGCAGGCCTGGAGAAGGTAGGGAACCGCAAGGTTGGTGAGGTTCCCCTACTTCTGCCCTGGCCACAGCCCTACCAGCTCCTAGTGGGGTTTTTTCCAGGGCCAGGGACCCCCATCCAGGAATCTCCCCCTCTTTCAGCCTGGGAGCTTGGTCTCTACTGGGGGGAGGGGAGGAAGGTGTGGTCTTGGGCCAACCCTGGACCACAAGGCTTGAGGCCCCACTGCAGCCCTGCCTTAGGGAGTGCCCATACTCCCGCCCCAGATCTTGTTACTGGGATACTGTGGGGGAAGGCATTTCCTGCCTAGATGACTTGGCAGCTGCCACTGCCATGGAGACCAGCTTGGAAGCTGTGAGGGCCTCAGTCTCCTCTGGCTGCTTGGACTGAGCAGGCGGGGGTGGAGAAGAGGAGGCCAATGGTCCTAGACTAGCTGCAGGGACCCCTCTACACTGGTGTCCAGCCCCAAGAGTGGCCAAGCAAGGACCCAAGCCTGGATCCACCCACCGATCCCCACACACATACACATTTCCTGGCAGGCCTCAGCCACAGATCCTTCCTTACTCAGGAAGTCGGGGGTTAGGGGATCAAAGCCCCCACATATGTCTCCTCTCCCCTGCAGCCATGTTTATCAAAGTGATGTTTGGAGGTAAGTGGGGTCCCCTGTCCCTACAGGTGAGTAGAGGATGGCACATTCAGAGGTTTGCTTCCCTCTGCTCTGGGGAGATTGGGGAGGCAATGTGGGGAAAGGGGATCCACTTGGGTAAGAGGATGGGGCAATTTAGGGAAACAGCTCAATGAGGAGGCAGAGTGAATGCTTGGAGTCCCTTGAGAGGCAACCCCGATGGCTGCATCCTGGGAAATTCCTATGGGTTCCTCTAGGAGAGCACCCACATCACCCTGGGGTGTGTTTTTAAATTATGCAATCTCTAATTTGGTCGGTGGTCCTCAAGCTTCAGGGCAGGCACATCAGACACCTAAAGCTCTAGCCACAGTTGCAGATTCCTGGATTTCTGGTGGGAGGTGGGGGGTCTGGTGCTGGAGGGAGGTCCTGTGCAGAGGCAGCCCTGGAGCAGGAGGGGGGGCATCCAGTGCAGGAGGCAGGAGCTGTGTGCCCTGGTCACCAATATCTCAAGAGATGGATGGAAAAGGGTACAGTCTTAATCCTGGAGCCCTATTCCCTGCTTTGGTTAAAAAAGAGATGAAAGGGAGACAGATGGTCCCAGATTGGGGGAAGCAGAGGGGCCCATTCACTCACCTCTACCCCGCCCCTACAGCTGGCTGCTGGGAGCTGGTGAACACCTGGTGCAGCCTGGTGACACTCACCGCCCACTTGAGGCAGAGAGGGCAGGTGCCTCCAGATGGTGAGGCGGCAGGGAAGGGTGCTGGGGAGGAGGGGCCAAGGGCCTCCAGGCAGAGGTGCCAGCCTGGCCTTGCCTCCCTATCTTCCCAGCAACCATTGCCCTCCTGGCTGAGGATGGGCATCTGGTAAGCCTGGATGAGAGACTGGAGGGGGCTTCCCAGGCCCCTTCCATGGGCAGCCCCCGGCTGCAGGAGCGTGGGACCTATGTCCTTGTGAAGATCATTAGTAAGTGGGGCCCAAGATTCCCCCTGGAGTTCTGATGGGATGGGGGGACAGCAGTCCAGAGACCACTAAAGGCCCTGGCCAGCCCCCTACTTTGGCAAGGACCTAGCCCTGACCCTTCCCATCAAATGCCTTATTGACCTCAGCCAGGCCCAGAGTGAAAGGTAGAGGTGGGGACCACCAGGCCAGTCAGGAATTGGGTCTTACTCCTTCCACAGAGGGGGAAGGTGGGGCCCCCACCCGCTATGAGTCCCTACTGGAGAATCTGGATGACCAGTATCCAGAGCTAGCAGGTGAGTGTCACAGTTGAGCCCCAGGGGGAAGGTGCACCTTCTCCCTAGCACCCATAGGTAAGGCTTCCTGGGCCTTCCAGAGGAGCTTCACTGCCTGTCAGGCCTACACCCCACGAGTGATGGTCGGAGGAGGCGCACGAGCACACGGCGTGGCCATCAGGAGCAAGGCCCCCTTTCAAGATCACGCAGGATGGGCTCCCTGCCATCCAGGACACGCTAGTGGGGGCCAGGAGCCAGCCAGGTAAGGAGGAGACATAGGCACCTGGGGGGATGATCACACCCCCAAGTCCCACGGGACAGGCTTATGTGTGCTGAGACATAGACCCCAAACACCGAGATCACCCCTACCCCCGCAAACACACACACACTAATACCCACAAGGTGGAACACACTGCACCAAGAGACATCCCACCACTCCACTGGACTCTAAGTACCCAAGGGTAGGAGCGTCCTCAGTGCCCTGGAGATATCGAGTAGAGCCTGGCATGCAGTAGGTGCTCAATGCACAGTTGATGAACTCAACGAAGGTGGCAGCAAAGAGCATGTGATAGTGAAATCTGTCCTCTGTTCCGGCAGGTCCCGTGACCTGGCACATCACGGCCAAGCGGCTGAGCTGGACTCTGATCCAAGGGGGTTGGCTGTGACCTCTGCCGTGTGTGATCAGGCCCAAAGAGCAGCCCAGGGGCATTCTTCTTGCAAAATCTAGACTTACTGAGAAGTTACATCAGCTGGAGGGACAAGGTCACAGACCAAAGGGGCCCCTTTGGGTGCAGAGAAAGGGATCCAGAGGCAGAAGGGACAAGGAGGGTGAAGGGGGCAAGTATCTCTGAGAGTGGAAGACAACAGGTTCCTCCAGGGCTTCCAGTCCCCAGAGTCATGCCCTTGGGGTCTCTGCTAATGCCTCACTCCTATTTGGACTGTCCAAGGTCATCAGATTACAACAGGGCTCCTCCCCCTTCCCCACCCTGGATGCCAGCTTCAGGTAGGGACATCCATCCATGCTCCTTTGACCCCACCCCAGCAGACAGGCTAGTGAGAGGGCACACAGTAGGCTATGGTCTAAAATAAACTCTTTTAATTGCACATTTGCGTCTCCGGTCATCTGTGGGGTGAGAAACTCCCCTCCTCATTCCCAATCCCAGCTACATGGGTACAATCTGAGGTCATGGTCCGGCTGTCGGTGAAGGGGTGAAGGTGGGTGCAGGGTTGGCTCAGGGATCTGCACCAATCCGTACCTGTCTCTTCAGGGCAGGGAGCTCAGACCTGCAGAGAGAGGGGTGGCACAGGCTGGTGGTTAGCCTACAGGTGCAGGAAGAGGGACTGCCCCTCCTGCTCCTGCCTGGGTCAGGGGCTGCTTGCTCACCGTGGTTGTACTTGCACTGCTTCAGGGCCTCGCTGAAGCCCTCACATAGGGACAGGTCACTCTGAGTGGTGGAGCAGTCCAGGAACTGCCTGATCTCGTAGGCGCAGGGCCCCATCTGCAGGGGCTGAGGCCCAGTGCGGGTGGGGGCCTAGCGTATGGCAAAAGAGGCAACAAGGTGAGCTCCAGGTTGGCACCCAGAAGTGGGTTCCAGCTGGGGGCGGCCTGCCCCTCCCCACACCCCCAGCCCAGGTGCCCCCGGGATCCCTGGCAGGCTGAGTGACTCAGGGCCAGCCTGCCCTGTCTAGCCTCGGCTGCTCCATCTGTGTAACAGAAGGAGCCCACAGTCCTGTCAAACCCACTGAGCTGATGCTAGTGCCAGTATGGACAGCATTTCTCAACTGCTTCAATACGGGCTCCCTGAGCAGGTAGGAGGGCCTGAGAGGTGAGAGAAGGATCTAGAAAAACGAAGTGTTGTGCTTGTACTCTTGGAATATAAGCCCCACCTCCGCAAATTGTAGCCAATTCCAGGCTCAGCCATTAACGATCCTTTTGACCCCTGACCCTGCCACTAAGCCACATTTGGCTCAGGGCCTGTCGGGTGCCCAGTAGGGGACAGGTGAGCAGAAAAAAGGCCCAGAGCTGCTGGCTATCCCTTGCCCTTGGGATGTCCGGACTACAGGGCATAAGCTGGGAATAGGGAGGGCCGGGACTCAGAACTTCAACAGCTCTCACCTCCACTAGGATTGGGTTACCTTGGGCCAGTCTCGCACCGCGGGGCTTTGGTTTCCCCATTCTTAAAGGGCCGGTTGATCCCTGGTTGTCCAGGGACCGTGGCCTCAGGTAAGGGGCAGGGAGAGCCTGCCCGTGAGTGACAGGAGGCCAAAAGCAGGGTGAGGAAGACGACCCTTCCTGGGAGAAGTCTAGGCCCAGGCAGCTCCGACCCGCCAGGGCACGAGTCGCTGGGCGCTCCAGCAGCTCCGGCCGCGGGGCCTGGGCAGAAGTTGGCCTCGGTTTCTCCTGAGCTCACCTGCTGAGCGGCGGGCTGGGCGGGCTCCGAGCTGCCCCCGCTGAAGGCTCCGGTCAGGGCGCTGCCCACGACGTGCCCCACAGCCGAGCCCACCGCCACCCCGGCGGCCGTGGACGCCATCTGCGCCATCAGGCCGGGCTGGCCCGACGGGGCGGCGGCGGCGGCGGCGGCGGCCGAGGGCGGCGGGGGCGCGGGCGGGGGCGCAGAGGGCGCGGCGGCGCGGCTGCGGGCAAGGGGTAGGGTTAGTCCCCGCCGCCCGCCCACCTGGGAGCAGCTCCCGGCCACCAAGCCCGTCCCCCTCTCCCCGAGGACGCGCGACCACCGACCCAGGCGCGACTGCGGCCCCGCCCCTCCCCCCAAGATGGCGCAGCCGCCGTCAAGGTCACGCCGCGGCGCCCCGGCGGGAGTCCCCGCGCTCCACCCCCCCTCGGTCCCGCGCGCACCTGGCAGGCCGGGCGGCCGCGCTGCGGCTCCCCCGGGGCATGGTGGCGGCGGCGAGATCTGCCTAGCGCAGGCGGAGACGGCGGCAGCCGGAGACGGCGACAGCCACAGCGGCTCGGTCCCGCGGACGCACCGGCTCGGCTAACCCCGCGGGCGCGGGGAGGCGGGGCCTGGGGAGACACGCCCCGGGGCGTGGCCGAGCGCGGGCGCCTGCACCTCCGCGAGCGCCCAGGGTCGCCCGGTCTGCGCGCCCTGCCTGCGCCGGGCCGGCCGTGTGCTCCTGGGACCGGGTCAATGCTGCAAATGCCCAGGGCTGACTCGGGGGCGACACGGGGCGACGGCCCGAGTCGAGTCCCTTCCAAAACCACCACGGAGGGGCACCTGGGTGGCTCAGCGGTTGAGCGTCTGCCTTTGGCTCAGGTCTCGATCCCAGAGTCGTGGCTCCCAGCAAGGAGCCTGCTTCTCCCTCTGCCTGTGTCTCTGCGTCTCTCTGTGTCTCTCATGAATAAGTGAATTAAAAAACCTTCAAAAAAAGCAAACAACCCACCATCGAAGGCGGGGAGCGGAGTTTGTTGCTGTCCCAGAGCCAGGGGAGAAATAGGGAGGGGATCGGATGAAGCCAGCACGGGAGGGGCACGAGGGGCCAGGCCAGGCTCCGGACCCCCCCTCCTGCGGCCTCGGGGGTGGGGGGCGAGGGGGGGACGCGGGGAGGGATAGAGCGGAGAAGAAACAAGCCCGAGGAAGGCCCTGGACAACCTGAACCCAGAACCTCCGCCAGGGGGCGTCCGAAGCCTTTCTCCGACTCCATTCCGGCCCGAATGCGCGGCAACCCTGGGCAGTCTCGCGCATCACCCTCCTGCGGTGGGATGGAGCCCCCCCATGCGGCCCAGCGCCCCGCCTGACACCCTGCTTTGCAGCACGGACGCAGCGGCGGACATCGAGGGCATTTATGCGGCAAACAAAAAATGCCCATCCCAAAGGCTCTGATTTGGGCGCCCGGAGGCGTTTCTGCGGGTTTGAATCTGTGGCCTTGCGATTTTACCACCTTGGTTCCAGGCCGGGGGAGGCGCGGATTTAGGACGCTTCCCAGCCCTTCAGGAACTTGAAGTTTACTTATTATTTCTTTTGAGTGATCATATTATTGCCTAAGGAGGAGCTCTGATTTCTTTACCCTCCCCTATCACTGTCCCATGTGCCCATAGGAGGCCTGGTGGCACCGGGATGGTAGGGAGGATGAGATCACCCCAAGTTAAAGTGAGTAACTTTAAAGGAACAGATTGCTAACACTTTAGGTAATAAAGATCGCTGGTGTCTTGTCTCTCCTCTTCTGAGCCTCTAGGAGTCTCTATGGACCTTCCTTGGAGAGGCTATGAGGCCTCCCTGGATTGGAACCTGGAGGGAGGGGATGAGTGGGCCTGATTGTCCTCCTCACCTCCTTCCCTTCTTAGGCCCAGGCTGGGTACCCACAGCCTCACCTTGCAGCCTCTCAGGACTCTGCCTGCCAGGATGGGAGCCACTGTCCCAGGTTGGGCTCTGCAGAGTTGCCCACGATGGAGCAGATTGCCTTAGTGAAGAAGTGGGGCCCCAGGTCATGAAAGTGGAGGATCCCTTACAGAATAGGACACCACCATCTCCTTTGACTTTCACCTCCTCTCTGTCAAGTCTCAGGAGGCTGGCCCCTAGGGCCATGGAGCATGTTAGTGTGTTGGGCCTCCAGAGCCCCACTCAGGCACTGGCCCCCCACCTGCCTCAACCTACTGATAGCACCCTCCCTCCCAACCCTCCCACTTGCCTGCTGGGATGGGAAAGCCTGATCTGGTCCTTTTCTCTTGGGCCCTCAGTTTTTCGGTTTATAAATTGTCTAGAGTTCTGTTCTAAGCTGGGGGGGGCTGGCCAGTCGCCTCCTTCTGCCTCAGTTTCCCCTGGCACACATCCCTGGTCTCACAAGGGCTATTGTGCCATCTTCCAGGTGGATCAGCTAAGGCTCCAAATGGTGGGAGAACTTGCCTGGGGGAACAACCACCTGTCATAGGCTAGCAGTAGGTCAAAGGTCAGGCCACCGGGGAGACTAGGTGGGGATGGAGCCCAGGAAGAGTGAAGCCCACAGCACAGCGGGGAAACTGAGGCCCGGAGTAGCACCAGGTGGACTGGGTCGCCTCTGAGATCTCAGGCTAAGCCTGACCCTGGGAAGGACTGGGTCTCGGCCTCCTGCCCCAGCCGGGCCAGCCCCTCCGCGTCCACCTCCCCCACCCAGGCCGCGGCAGCCACCGGGAGAGTTTAGAACAAAAGGCGAGAGGGGCGGGGCCGGGGCGGGCCGGGGGCGGGGCGGAGGCTATAAGGGGCGGCGGCCCGGCGCGGCCCAGCAGGCCCAGCAGCCCCGGGGCGGATGGCTCAGGCCCCCCGGCTCCGCGGCGCGGCCCTGCGCGCCCTCCTCTTCCCGCTGCTGCTGCTGCTACTCCCGCCACCGCCGCTGCTGGCCTGGGCCCCGCGGCCCCCGGTGAGTGCCCGCCGCCGGCCAGCCGCTCCTCGCCGAGGAGGTGCCGGCACGCGGGCTGGGCCCGGTGGCCGAGCTGGACCCACGGGGGCGCCCGGGGTGGCCCGCAGTGGCCCGTTACCCGAAACGCTTTCTGAGTCCCTGTGGCCGTGAAAGATAGTGAGCTTCCCGTCCCTGGAGGTGTGCAAGTGGAGCCTGCGCCGGGATCGCTCAGGCTGGTGAGGCGGGACTCGGCGCTAGACGCACGCCCCCTCCCAGCGTGGGGACCTGCTCCCGGGCGCCCCAGCTGCAGATGCTGGGCTGCGTGCTGGGCCAGGTAGCAGAGGGAGTGGTCACAGGGCCTCCTATTCATCGCGGAGACAAAGCCGCGGGCTGGTGTCAGCCTCCAGGTGTGTGGCCTTCGGTTAGCACACCTCCACGGGTGCCCGTGGCTGGAGGATTAAGGAAGAGCTGGAGGGCAGCACTGCTCTGGGGCAAATGGGGTGCAAGTCGGAAGAGGTGGCACCACCTGGGCACCTCCAAGTGGCAAGTTTGGGAGGTGTGAAGCCAGGACAGCATGAGTGTGAGAGGTGTGTGTGTGTGTGTGTGTGTGTGTGTGTGTGTGTGTGTGTGAGACAGAGAAAGTAAGAAGAGCCCGGAGTGGCCAGCTGAGACCCTCAGAAAGGAAGGGGGTGGGGAGAGAAAGGGAAGAGAGAAGAATGTGTGATCAGGAGAGAAGGCAGTCTGAGAGAGGGCAGCAGAGTGGCTAGCGGAAGGGCAGTCACCGGGTGTTGTGTGACTGCCTGTGTGTGCCCACCGGGGGCCTCGAGGGACCCCTCACAAGGGTGGCCATGCGGAGCCCACAGACCCCTCGGACCCCAGCTGCGGCATCCAGACAACTCAGGCAGGGATGGGAGCATTAGGATGTGTGACAGGCAGGAGACGAGGGAGGGAGGGCTGACCAGCTGGGCCCCCTCTGCCCAGTCCCACCGGCTCTGCCCTGCCCAGCCTTGCCTCATCCTGGTTATGGGAGCAGAAGAAGATCGCATGGGTGGGTTAGGGAAGGGGGCATCTCAGTCTGGAGGCTCTGCCTCTTACCAACTCCTCCCAGTCCCTTGAACTTGGGGCAGAGTCCAGAATCACCCTGGGTAGCCAGTTGACCCCCGGGTTCAGGAATTGGAGAGATGCGGGTTTGAACCATGTGCCCTAGGTGAGTCCTTCTGGGTCACCCCCTCGGTCTTGGTGGGTAGGAGATAACGGTGCCCACTGCTGGGCACTGAGGATTAAGTGAGGTAATGGGAGGAGAGGGCACAGGCAGTCACGCTGGACACACACTGTCACCTGTGGCTGCCACTTTGATGCTCGTGCAGGGTCACTTGGGGCCGGGTCTGAGCTGGGCTGTTGGCTGTCACTCTGTAGATATACAGGGAGCATTTGGGGTCGCCTTCCCCGTGTTTATCCCCAGGCTGCCATCAGCAGGGCCAGGAAAGCTCTGTAAATATTTATCCACCCCAGTTCACAGTTTTCAGGGTTGATGAAAAAACCCTGCAGCCCGGTGGTGCGATTCCCTCCTGGAGCCGGCAGGGGAAGAGGGGCCCCCCCAAGAAGATTGGGTGCAGTGCGGGGCAGTAGATGGACCTGCCTGTTGCCTGGTGCATAATTGGCAGGTTGCTTGGCCTCTCTGAGCCTCAGAGTGGCGTGCTGCTACAGAGAATGATGTGATGCTCCTCATTCTTTCTCACAGCCTAACAAAGGACCCTCCTAACAGGATCGCCTCCAGCTGACTGTGGAAGGCAGAGCTGTTATTAATTATCCCCGTTGGACCTATAGCAAACTGAGTCTCAGAGGGGGGTGAAACTCTCCTGGAGTTACCAGTTTTCTGGTTTGGGGTCCTTTATCCCCTCTCTACAGGGTGCTTCCCATTTTCTAGATTGGAAATTGACCCAAGTGCTGACCCCAAGCCTCTAGCTCGAGATGGAGTCAGCTGAGAAGTTCCTCAAGTATGTTTGGGGCTGTGGTTTGGTGCCCCCCAAGAGGAAGGCGGGGTAAGTGAGCTCAGTGCCCACCACAGGGCAGACCTAGGGAGGCTCCTGACTGAGGAGGAGGAGGAGAGAAGTCATCGGAAAAAGAAACACTTCTCAGGAATGTGGGTTTTGGAGACAGGCCAAGAATTGAAGAGGTGGGGGAGGCACAAGCCCCAGGTCTAGGCCCAGCTCTTCTTTGACTTGCTGTGTGACCCTGGGCAAAGTCCTCGACCTCTCTGGGCTCCGTTTCTTTCTCTGAGAAATGTGGTGATGCCTGCTTCCCAACCCTCCCAGGGCTGTGGATGAGGCCAGGTATCCCACCTCACTGAATCCCAGCAGCCTTGGGAAGACGAAGCACACCAATCTTAGGAATCTGCAAGGGGCTCTGTGCCAGGCCTTGCACTTAGGGTTCCTGACCTCAGGCCAGAAAAGACTCAAAGAGGTAAAGTGTGGGAGGTCTCAAGGGCAGGGGGCATGTGTCCCATCCCAGTAATGGGAAGACTGAGGCTAAAAGCCATTAAGTGATTGGTTCCAAAATACAAATATCTGACAGGAGACCTTGATTCTAGTGCCTTCCACTTACCCACTGCAAGACCAGTGAATGTGACATGGACAATGAGCATGAGCCTCTGGCTGTGGGGATGACTCTGTCTCAGTCACTCTTCTCTGGGCCTGCAAGCTCCCTTCTGCTAGCTGTAATTCCTGTTTCGGATTTAGTCTGGGAACTTTGGGGGAGCTGGAGCCCAGATGGGTGGTGGGAGCTGTAACACATGCGGCAAGAGCAGGTTTCTAGGTGTGGGAGGGGAGAGCCCACGGGGACAAGAAGTGGGGCCAGGGCAGACGCCGCAGTGGGCATTAGAGAAGGAGATTATTTAAAGCCCTCTGCTGTGGTGCCATCCCCACTGGACAGAGAAGTCAAAGCTAAAAGAGGGAGGGGACTTGCCCAGAGTCACTCCATCCAGGTGACCATGGCATAGGACTGGGCTGAGTCTCCGAATCTCAGACTGTGGCTCTTTCTGTTGGGCTGAGAGTGCCATGATCCAGGGTTCTGGGCATGGACCTAGTTCTGGCGAGGGCAGGAGGGGAAGGATTGTGTGTCCAGTACCCTCCCTCCATCATTAGCCGCTGCTCCAGGCCTCACTGGAGGGCAGAGGAGATGAGAGAATTCTGTCCAGAGGTGTGAATAGAGCTGTTGGGGGCTCACAGGGGCAACCCTTTCCTGCCCAGGAAGTCAAAGGGGCAGTGTGGGGAGGAGAGAGGTAGGCTCTCATGGTTAGGTACACAAACCTGGGGTTCGCATCCTCAATGTGAGACCTCGCATATGTATCACCCCCCACTTTATTGGGGGTGTGTGTGGGAGAGTGGGTGTTCAATAAGCTGAGAGAGTGCCTGGGAAGAATCATTTTCCATTCCTTCTCTTGGTGAGAGCTGTCACCAAGGTGAGGCCAGCCTGGATCCCTCCTCCAGGGGAAGGGTGGCTCCAGCCTGAAGAGCACAACAGAGGTAGCAGGTAGGGAGTGGGTTGGGAGCACAGATACCCTACCACCTGCCAGCTGTTACCTGGGCAAGTTGCTTAACTTCTCTAAGCTCTGTCTTCTCATCTGAGAAGTGGGGGATGATGAGAGTGGAGTTAGAGAGAGATCCCATCAGAGGCTAAGAGCATGTCTGTGGAGCTGTTGGTAGGGTCCTAGTCTAGATACAGGTGAACCGCAAGTGGTAAGGACTTAACTGGCTGTAAGTCCAGTATCCACCGGAACCTACAACGCAGGGAGGCTGGGCTTTGCCAAGTAACTAACTAACCATTCAGTAAGCAAGCTCTGAAAGTAAAAAGCTGGTCCAGGCTTTTTCTCGTACCCCAGGTAGCTGTGCCCCTGCGTGTTCAGAAGACCCCAAGTGGGGTGTCCTTGGGGTTGAGTCTGGGTGGCTCTGAGAGGTTGAGTAATTGGTAGCTCCAGAATTGGGAGACTGGGCTGCTAGCATGATGATCAGAGCCCTGGGATGCCTAGGGCCTGGGAGAACTGCCAGAGGCTAAGGGTGAGGGTGGAGCCTGGGTGGCCTGGCTCCCACCCCAAATATGGCTGTGGGGAGGCCCCAGCCGCCCAAACCAGTCAGCCCCAGACCAGATGGGTGCTTAGTCTCTAACAGACGGCATGGCTCCATGCCTCTCCAGCTTTGCTTAGTATCCCAAGCCTAGCCTTCGCCTCCTGCCTGGGACACCAGGGTCCTCATCTGGCCCTGCCATGCCCTTGCTGAGTGACCTCGAAGGGTCTCCCAACCTCTCCAAGCTTCTGCTTGTTTCAGGCTTGAAAACTGCGACCTCGGCCCTGGATTGTGCAGTGGGTGGAGACTCCAGGTCAGGATCTCCATCTGTAGTGCTGGGGCTCCAGCAGGGCAGGGCTAGGTGGGGGCTGGGCACCTGGTAATTGTCTGTTCCCCCCTGCCCAAGCATGGATCAACACTGGGGAGGTATTATCCCCATTTGTCAGGTAAGCAAATCAAGGCTACACTGCGGGGCTACAGCTCTTCTACACTGGGGAGCGGTGGTGGTGGGTATCCTGGGTGAGAGCCCACTGAGGTTAATTGGAGAGGGCAGAGTTGGTGGGGATGGGTGGAGGAGGGACAGGAAGAAAGAAAGGAGAAAAGGTGTTTGCTGGGCTCTGGGCCAGTAGGGGAGCAGCAGGACCTTGCCTGGACTTTACTAGAAAGCTTTGTAGGATCTATTCCTGGGTGCGTGCGGAGAGTAGTCAGACACTACACCCCTGACCCAGACCTTTCTGGCCCAAGTGGCTGCATAGGCAGCCCAAACACTCCAGGAGGGGGCAGGAAGGCAGCAGGATGCCTCAGAACAAGGCCTCAGGAAATCTGAGCCAGTCCGTGCCAAAGGGCCCTGCCGTGTGATGGCTTGCACACCTCACCCTCAGTCTGACCATCTACAAGGTAGGCTGGGGTTGAGCATGGATATGCTGATGGGCCATGAGGACCCAGGGCCTGATGAAACCTTTGGATCCTTTCTCCTGCCCAGGATGCACACCGCCGCCACCCTGTGAGGAGGGGGCCACAGCCTTGGCATGAAGCTGGTCCCAGCAGCCTGGCACCTGCCCCTACTGCCCAGGACACTCCCCAGCCTGCCAGCAGCCCCAGGCCTCCCCGCTGCGGTGTGCCTGACCCGCCTGATGGACTGAGTGCCCGCAACCGACAAAAGCGCTTCGTGCTGTCAGGCGGGCGCTGGGATAAAACGGACCTCACCTACAGGTAGGGGCCAGCGGCTGTGGGAGCAGGCTCTAGACCTCTACCTGTGTGTTTGTGTGTGAACTGCCACCCTCTTCTGCTTCTTGAGACATGTCTTGGAGCTAGATCTTTGTGGTTAACAGACTTGTGTGTCTGCTGACCCCCGAACCATCTGTGGACCAACTCCCTAAACCCTAACTTAGATGCACACACAGACAACACCCTCTCACAGCCATGCCTGCCCACAGCAGAGGGGCAGTAGCTCTGTTAACATGTGAAATGTCTCAGCACACACTGGGTGGCTCCATTGACATATAGGGCATGGCCTTTGGTCACCCAGGCAACCTCTATTGGGGACCTAATAAGTGCTGGGCCCTGGGATTCTGATAAATGAAGGATCATTGTTCAGACCTACCATCAGAGCTCAGGATCCACGTGGGTGGGGACAGTGGTGAGCGAGCAGGACAGGTAACATTGGGAGTGATGCAGAAGCTGAGGCTTGTCCTGTGGGTGGGGAGTTGGCCCCAGGACAGAAGGCATGTGAAGGGTGATGTGTCACACAGATCGGAGCTCAGAAATGCCCTGGGTGGGGAATCGAAACCCAGATGGGGGGATCCCTGGGTGGCGCAGCGGTTTGGCGCCTGCCTTTGGCCTGGGGCGTGATCCTGGAGACCTAGGATCGAATCCCACGTCGGGCTCCCGGTGCATAGAGTCTGCTTCTCCCTCTGCCTGTGTCTCTGCCTCATTCTCTCTCTCTCTCTCTCTCTCTCTCTCTCTGTGTGACTATCATAAATAAATTTTAAAAATTAAAAAAAAAATTAGAAGCCCAGATGGGGTCAAGGGACCAGGGTCTCCCCACAGTAAGTGGCACAATCAGGTCTAGAAGGTGGGTCTTGGGGCCCCTGATTCTGCATTCTTTCCACCAAATGCAGACACCTGTGGGTACCAAAGGACATACAAACCCACACAAAGATGTTCCCATGTGGAAGCTGAAGCCCAGAGCACACCTGGCTTGTGTCCCACATTCATGCATCCCCTCTGAGCACTGAGGGGCATTTCCTGGCCCAACAGTCATTGGGGGGCTGTCCCAAGCAAGGCCCAGGCCCCTCCTCCTCCCCCCAGGATCCTCCGGTTCCCATGGCAGCTGGTACGGGAGCAGGTGCGGCAGACGGTGGCAGAGGCCCTACAGGTGTGGAGCGAGGTGACACCACTCACCTTCACCGAGGTGCATGAGGGTCGTGCGGACATCATGATCGACTTCACCAGGTGAACCAGTGGCCTAAGACCCCACCAGGAACTAGCCCCACCTGTCAGTGGCCACTGACTCTGCCCCACCTACCCGCAGGTACTGGCATGGGGACAACCTGCCATTCGACGGGCCTGGGGGCATCCTGGCTCATGCCTTTTTCCCCAAGACCCATCGAGAAGGAGATGTCCACTTCGACTATGACGAGACCTGGACAATCGGGAACAACCAGGGTATGGGCAGGGGACCCATTTTCCAGATGGGACCACTGAAGATCACAGCGAATGGGGACAGGTCCTTGAGCTGGGCTCTGGAGCTTGGGTGTCTTGCGGCAGGAAGCTTGTGAATTTCTGGGCTATCTCCCTTTTTCAGGTACAGACCTCCTGCAGGTGGCCGCCCACGAGTTTGGCCATACACTGGGGCTGCAGCACACGACAGCTGCTAAGGCACTCATGTCCCCTTTCTACACCTTCCGCTACCCACTGAGCCTCAGCCCAGATGACCGCAGAGGCATCCAGCACCTCTATGGCCAACCCCGGACAGCCCCTACCTCCAGGCCCCCAGCCGTGGGCCCCCAGGCAGGCGTGGACACCAACGAGATTGCCCCACTGGAGGTGAGGCCCTGCTCCCAGCTCCCTTCACCCTCTGGCCTCTGTGGCTCCAATGTGGGCTCTTTCTCAGCCCTTCTCTCCCACGCCAGCCGGAAGCCCCACCAGACGCCTGTGAGATCGCCTTTGATGCAGTCTCCACCATCCGTGGCGAGCTCTTCTTCTTCAAGGCGGGCTTCGTGTGGCGGCTGCGCGGGGGCCGGCTGCAGCCTGGCTATCCTGCGTTAGCTTCTCGTCACTGGCAGGGACTGCCCAGCCCCGTGGATGCAGCCTTCGAAGATGCCCAGGGCCACATTTGGTTCTTTCAGGGTGAGGGGTACTGGGTTTCATGCTCAGGAGACGTCCAGGAGCCAGGAACATCATGGCCAAGGATAGGGACAGTCAGACTGAACTAATGGGCAGTGGGAGGGTGCCCTGAAGCTGGAGGGTCAAGGGAGAGTGTGGCTTACTTCTCTGGGTGCACCTGGGAGGCTCCCAGAGGAGGTGTCTCTCAAGACGGGAATAGCATTGAGGGTGTTACACAGTGGGCCATGCATTCAACCCTCGAAGCCATCCTAGGGGGTGTACTTGGGATTAGTATGCCTGCTTTAGAGAGGAGGTCTCTAAAGATGTGGTGAAGTGACTCGCCTGAGGGCATGGTTTAGAGAAGGCAGAGCAGGAATTTGATCCAGTTCTGGCAACTCCAGAGCCTGTGCTATAACTTTCAACTAGGAGAGACAAGAGCCTGGAACATTCTAGGGGGCAGGGACCTCATCAACAGAGGCCCAAGCCTGGGTGCGGCCCGGGGACTGATCAGAAGCACTTGTCACAGGTAGCTAAGTGCTGGGGAAGGAATGGGAGGTCAGGAGCCCTCCTTCCTGTTTAGAAAAACTTCTCCTGTGGTACCTCCCAGAGCATGCGTCTCTGCAGCTTATCCCCACTGGTCTAAAACTTCCCTCTGGGGATAAGGGTGCCGAGCAGGATTACTGGCCTGAGTGTTTTACAGACAAGGAAACTGAGGCTGAGAAGTCTGTGGTGGTGGCCGGGAGCCACAGTTGGGCACACCCGTTGCAGCCTCCCCTCTCCTGCAGGTGCTCAGTATTGGGTGTACAATGGAGAGAAGCCAGTCCTGGGCCCTGCACCTCTCTCTGAGCTGGGCCTGCTAGGATCCCCCATCCAGGCCGCCTTGGCCTGGGGCCCCGAGAAGAACAAGATCTACTTCTTCGGAGGCAGAGACTACTGGCGCTTCCACCTTAGCACCCGCCGTGTAGACAGCCCCGTGCCCCGCCGGGCCACTGACTGGCGAGGGGTGCCCTCTGAGATTGATGCCGCCTTCCGGGATGCTGACGGTGCGTCGGGGTGGAGTGGCTGGTACCAGCAGTACAAGAACCACATCTCTCATTTGGTGGTGGTTGGGCATTAGCTCCTCGTCGCAGGTCCTCTGTCCAGTGCTTTCCCCATCCACCCTCCCCCTCGTGCTGGGGCAGTGCCATGCCCCCGTGCTACAGATGGGAAGACTGAGGGCCAGAGACCTGCCCAGGTCCCTCCATCATATCTGGTAAAATAGTAACTGCCACACACCGAGGACCGATGATGTTCTAGGCACAGCGCTAAGCTCCTTATGTGTCTCATGCAGTTCTCAGAACAGCCCTTTGACATCACCCATGCCATGAAGCCAGTTTCCAGAGGGGCTAACAGCAGTTCAGGTGATGAAGTCCCTAACTGGGCCAATCAGGTGCACAGTGGGGAGCCAGGCCTCCCACCCAGGCAGTCCCTGCTCCTCACCACCGAACCACCTGGCTGGCCTCCCACAATCTCAAAGGAGTAGAGTGGGATTGACTTTTAGTCCCGTACTTTCTCCCCCGTACCCTCAGCCTTGCTTCTGGGCTCTCCCACATTGGGACCTGCTAGGAGAGCAATGCTGTGGTGGCTCTGGGGCTCTTGGTCACCCGTGCGTCCACCTTGCCTTGGGATGTCTGTAGTCTGGCTGGCAGGTACAGCAGTAGACTGATGGGGGAAGGGGAAGACTACTTGCTTTCCTGGGGGGTGGGGATTGAGTTTCTGAGACTCCAGGCATCTGTTAAGCTGGATAATAGCCCAGATCAGACCATGGTGCACAGGTAGGATTCAGAAGGATGGAAAGTCAATGGCCATGCCGGGGCCTACAAGTTTCAAGGAGTACAACAGTAGTCAAGCCCTGGCAATCTGACCTCCCCCTGTGCTAGTCCCTGGGCACAGCCTGACTGGCAGGTGCAGGGCCCATTGTCTACTCACCCCAGCTTGACCTTCCTCTCTCCTCAGGCTATGCCTACTTTCTGCGAGGTCGCCTCTATTGGAAGTTCGACCCCGTGAAGGTGAAGGCCTTGGAGGGCTTCCCCCGCCTCGTGGGCCCTGACTTCTTCGGCTGTACCGAGCCTGCCAACACTTTCCGCTAACCACAATGTCGATGCCCTCAGGGCACCTGACCCCTGCCAGACCACTCACTGGATAGAGACCAGTGGGCATCTGTGTAGCTATGGGTACTAGGCACAGGATAGAGCCTGTGTTTCCTCAGGGGGTTGGGGAGGGGGTGCTGTCCCCTTGACGACTGCAGGGAGGGCCATGCAGGTCGTGGTCACCTGCCAGCAATGGTCTCAAACTGGGCAAGAAGACTCTGGCGTTACTTGAGGGTGAGGGCGGTCTCAGGCCAGCCTCACCCAACCTGTGCAGGTCACAGGCAAACCCTGCTGCCCTGTCTCCAGCCCTGTCCCTCAAGTTGCCCCTCAGCAGGGCTGGGGGAGCTGAAGCCCTCATTTGATCCCTGCTGTGAGGTTCCTACAGGGTGCTGGCGCGGGGGGGCCAGGGGCCCCGTGGCCTTCTACCTTTTCCTGAGGGGTCAGCTCCGGGTAGGTGCTTGGAACTGGCTGATCCTAGAGATGTATTCCCCAGGATCCAGGCCAAAGGGTCCAGATTCAGCTGGGGAGGGGAGTGTTTCCTGCTGGAGACCCCGGGCCCTGGAAGCCCCAACATACCTCAATCCTGACTTGGGCTAGATCCTTCCCAGCCCTCATCCCAGCACTGGGACCCTCCAAAGTCCTGTAAATGTGTATACAGTGTGTACAAAGCCTTTTTTTTCTACTGAGTACTGTCATTAAATATGGTTATTTTCTACTTGTCTTTCCTCTGCCTGATTCTTTTTTTTTATTTTTAAAAAAGATTTTATTTATTCATGAGAGATGCACAGAGAGAGAGGCAGAGGGAGAAGCAGGCTCCCTGCAGGGAGCCCGATGTGGGACTCGACCCAGGTCTCCAGGATCACGACCTGAGCAGAAGGCAGACACTAAACCACGGAGCCCCCCGGGCGCCCTGCCTGGTTCTTTATGAAACTATGGGGTGAGGAGGGGGACGGGGACAGATGTAGGAACTGGCTCAGGACCTGCTCCATCCTGGGAGCCAGGGTCATAGCCTACTCCACCCACCCATCCACACTTCTGCGGGTTGGGGCTGGACGCAATGCCTAGGACTCCTCTGGCTTCAGTCCTCCATCCTGTCCAGCCAGCCCGACACCTGGAGGGCTTTGTGATTGATTCCAAGGCTTCCCCGCGGGCCCCTCAGGGGATCCTCCACCAAGTGGTGGTCACTTTATCAGATCATGCCACACCCCAGCCCCTGATCAGAATACTTTGTTTCTCACTGCTGTCAGGACACAGATGGTTACCATGGCCGACCCCACCTGTCACCTCGCCCTGCCGCCCAGTCCCCGCGGATCTTCTTCATGGTAGCACCTATCACAGCTACCATCTTAGACTGAACCGTGTGAGATTGTCAGCAGGGGACCATCTTCGATCTGCTGTATTGTGCAGCCGGACACACGGATGCTTTGATGCTCGGCTCCCAGCTGCGAGCTCCGCGGGGCAGGGCCGTCTAGGTTCGTGCCCCCCCTCCCCCATGGCTGCGCCTGTTGAGGGCACGAGGTGCAGAGTTAGGGAAGGAACGGAGCGGCCGGCCTCCCTTCCAGCTCACTGATGCCTCAAACCAAATACCACCCCGGGGCCTTGGGATCCTGCCAAGCCTGGGGAACCTTCGCCAAGGCCACTCCCCCACCCAGTGTTGTCATTGTGCCCATCTTCACCGCAGGAACAGCTGTGCGCCCGGAAATGGGGTATCTGCTCCTAGGATCCCTCTTACCTACTCAACTACACTGCTTTTTCCGGGTGGGGAAACTGAGGCACGAACTGCTCTGGCGTCCTCCTGGCCTCAGGCCTCATTTCACTCCTCCACTGGGCTGAATTCTACCTAGTTGTGAGGCTGGGGAAAACACCGCCGGAGTCAGGGCCCCCTGAGTGCTATTTCTGTCGGTGAGCAGCTCTGGCCAGTGCCTCCCCCAGGGAAGCAGCCTGGAAGAGAAACGGGTCCGCGGCTCCTTTAAGGGGCCCGACGGGGCGCGCCCCGGCCTTTTGTTTGGGCGACGGCGGCGCGCGCGTCAGCGTCAACGCCCCGCGCATGCGCACTGAAGGCGGCCTGGTTGTCGTTGGCGGCGGCGGCTGAGGAGCTCGGCGGTGGCACGAGCACCGGATCAGCCCGCCCGTCGCCTCCCGGCCTCGGCTCTCCTCGGCTCGGCGCGCCCCGGCTCCTCCTCCGTGCTCCCGATCCCTCGCAGCCCGGCCCCGGCCGCCCGCCCCCGCCGCCGCAATGATGATGATGGCGTTGAGCAAGACCTTCGGGCAGAAGCCCGTCAAATTCCAGCTGGAGGACGACGGCGAGTTCTACATGATCGGCTCTGAGGTACCCGCGGCGCGTCCTCGCCCTCCGGCTCCGGCCCGGCGGGAGCCCTGGGGCGGGTCTGCGCGCCGGGAACGCGCGTCTCCATTCATCGCGGCGGGCGCGCGGGCGCGCACGGAGCTGCCCGGGGGCGGGGCCGGGAGGGCGGGGTGGGGAAGGGGCGTGGTCTGTTTGGCCCCGCCCCGCGCCCCGCGGCGGGTGGAGTTTACTTAATCCTCGGTGGTGGGGGGCGCTCGCTGCTGCCTGGCGGTAGGGCGCCGGGAGGAGCCCCCGGGTCCGCCCTGAGTTGGGAAGACCCCAGCCCGCCGCCGAGGAACTGGGTGTTTCATTAGCCCCTGGGGCTCCCGGGGGAGAGATGTCGGGAACTTCTCACGCATCCCTCCTCCACGGGTACATCTGGGGTCCTGAAATCGCAGGCCGGAAACGGGGTTTACTGATGTCTCATCCCTCGTTGTGTTGGTTGCTTTTATTTACCGGTGAGGGAATAGGGAGGAGGATGCTTGTTTTTTGCGTGGATAAAGCTGCAGTCCCTGAGCTAGAGAGATCAGCAGGTCAAGAAGCAGTCGACACTGTCGACTATCTTGAACTTACAACGAATTTTGAGGGAGAGATTGTAAATATCTCCCATTCTCAACCAGAAGTGACAGCATTTTGTTGAACCAGCTGCACAGCTGACTTTGGGAAAACGCTGCAATTGTTCCTTCCGTGGGAGTTTGTACTGAAAACTAAGCTTTCTTCCAGATTGCCTCAAACTAGCCCTCTTTGAGTCAGGAGTAATCCCCCAGCTAGTGTGTGTTCCTTTTTTTTTTTTTCTAGTCGAGGACATGCGGTTCAGATGTGCAGATATCTGGCGGTAGAGTCTTGTCTGTGTAATGAGAGAAATGCCAATCCTGGAGAGCTACAAGATGCCCAGGGTTGTTTTTCCCTGTAGCAGCGTTCAGTATCACATGCCAGCATTTCATTCCGGTTTTTATTTTTTTTTTAAGATTTTATTTATTCATTCATGGGAGACAGAGAAAGAGAGGCAGAGACACAGGCAGAGGGAGAAGGATCAGGTGCCATGCAGGGAGCCTGATGTGGGACTCGATCCCGGGTCTCCAGGATCACACCCCGGGCAGAAGGCAGCGCTAAACCGCTGAGCCACCTGGGCTGCCCTCATTCCCGTTTTTAAAATATGGGGGTTTTTTCCTTCACAATTGGACATAGAATAAATGAATGAAGCCTCATGATGGTCATGCTGAGGCTCTTAGGACACCCTGTGACTCCTGGAGTTAGGAGACCAGTGTTGCCTGTCGCATCAGGACTTAAGTGTCCATTTTTTAATCAACTTTCATAAAACAAAAAGGGTAGGATTTATAAATTAATTTTTCATACTATTACATAAGTGCTGCTCTTCCGACGTAACTGGGGAAGCGGAGTCCTTGCCTTTCCATGTGCCACAGCTCAGAATGGTCTTCACTGACCAGTAGAAAGAGCCTAAATGCAAGACATGGGGCATTTGAGGAGTTTCCATATGATACTGGGCACATTGTTTAAAGAAGCCTTTTCCTGATCTAATGGACAGGAAAAGCAATCCTGGAAAAGCAATGTTTGGCCTTGACTCTGAGTGGATGCTGCTTTTGAAAAGGAAGCTTCTGTTTGTTAGATGGAAAGTATTGAGAGGGAGCATGTGAAGAGATGAGAAGGGGGAGACCCAGTTCCAGCCCTGCTCTGTCTCCAGGTTACCTGTCTCCAGGTCACTTTTCTCATGTGTGTGAGACATGCTTAGACTCTATGATCTCTAAGATCTTAGGTTCTAGAAGGGTAATTGTGGTCTTCTCTTCCAGCCCTGTTGAGTGAGAATTGTCCTGAGACCCAGTGTATAGAGACCGAGAGGGGAGAGACACATTTTCTCTCGTGGGCCAGGCTGAACAACTGTCAGACATCTGGAGGTCTGGGAAGGATTCAAGATCAGGAGGCTGACTGTTGATAACCAGTAGCTCCTGTGACAGCATTGGATGGATGGCCACCAGGCCCCTTTCTTTGGGAAAACAGACACCATGTTCAGAGAGATGGGTTGGCCATAGCAGCACACCCAGGGCCACCATGCTACATCTGTGGAGCAGCTTTGGGAAGGGCATCTGCGGTTGCAGCAAGTGTGTTTCACTGTTCTCATGCCATCTGCAGGCAGTTGTGTTCACCAATCCAGAGTCACAGGGCTGAGAGGATCCTAAGAAATCCCCAGTTTCACACCTTCACATCTATTTTATTATTTAAAGATGTATTTGTTTTAGAGGGAGAGAGAGAGCACGAGTGGAGCAGGAGGGGCAGAGGGAGAAGAAGAGAGAATTTCAAGCAGACTTCCTGCTCAGCGTGGAGCCCAATACAGGGCTCAATCTCACAAGTCTGAGATGATGAACTGAGTCAAAACCAGGAGTCGGATGCCACCCAGGCATCCCAACCTTTATTTTACATTTGGGACACTTGGGTCCAGAGAGGGTGAAGGCTGGTTCATGAGAAAGCCAGGAAGACAAGTCTTGCTTTCCCAAGTTCCAGAGGGGTCTTGGGAAGTATCTATGTGTCCCAGAGCTTTACAAGACCTGCAAGGTAATAGTGGCGGGTATTGTTATCAATTTCTTTCCAAAAACCTAGTGGAAACTATCCATTTGCCCTTGGATGGTAATGATACTCAAGCCAAATAATGCAGAGGGGGGTCTGTGCCTTCTGTATGGAGCCTGATGACTTGCTGCTCAGGCTGTTCAGCATCCCTGGTTGTCGATCATAAAAATCTTTGACTCATGAAAAAGGGAGAAACACACTTTAGTTTAATAGATACATCATTGCTGCCTAGGTAAACAGGAAAAATAATAGAAATGGTCCTCCGTGAGGCAAAGTCCAGAGTTGCTGCACGTTTGACAGATGAGTAAGGAGACCCTGAAGAGGTTGTTTCTCGGCCACAGGTAGAGCCAGGCGTTTGGCTGCAGTTCCCATGGGACTCAGCTGGTCTTTTTTTTTTTTTTTTAAGATTTTATTTATTTATTCATGATAGACATAGAGAGAGAGGCAGAGACACAGGCAGAGGGAGAAGCAGGCTCCATGCAGGGAGCCGGACGCGGGACTCGATCCCCGGACTCCAGGATTGCGCCCTGGGCCAAAGGCAGGCGCCAAACCGCTGAGCCACCCAGGGATCCCCTCAGCTGGTCATTTTTGCACTGTCGGTTAAATAATCAAGTTTCTTTATGAAAATTTGGAGACTAGATGTCTTTTCATGAAGGAAATCATACTTCGAGTATCCGGTACAGACAAACTGAAGCAGTTGTTTGGGGTGGTCATGATTTATGTAGCAATCTGGTGATTGCCAGTAAGTGCTTTTTAAACTCTTTGGAAAATTCCTTTTGTGTTCCTGGTTT